AATGCTGCTTTTAAACAAACCTCCCTTTCTTCTTCATATGTTGCAGAAACGTTATCAGGAAATGCCAGAGCCTAAGTTCATGTATGGGAGCCATTATTCATCTCCGGGTTATGTTTTGTTTTACCTTGTTAGAGTTGGTAAGTCAGCTTTTACACACTCTCTGAGCAGACAGTTACCTCCCATGTGGACAAGGTATGGAGCAAGCTGATGACTTTTTCTTTCTCCTTAGCTCCAGAATACATGCTCTGTCTGCAGAATGGAAAGTTCGATCACGCTGACAGAATGTTCAACAGGTCTGTTTAAATTTTTTTCTAAAACTAGGTTGGGTTTATTTAAAAATATGTATCAAGGGATTGCAAAGCCTTAAAAAATATTTTTTTAACAAATGTGAGATTAACATGTGTTATATAGTCTTGCAGAAACCTGGAAAAACTGTTTGGATGGTGCAACAGATTTCAAAGAGGTAAATAGCTGAAATATGATTCAAGTCCTTGGTATCTCTGCTAAGCTTTCTGTTCTCAGATGTCCCCTGTTGAGGGTGGGGTGTGTTTGCTTGGCTGGTTTTTTGTTTGTTTTGTTGTTTGTGTTTTTTAGTTGTGTGCAGGGTTTTTAAGGCATTTTATGAATCCTTCATTGTTTTTAACTTCTTTCCTCTGTGTAATTCCATGATTGCTGGTCTGTGTCTGCTTCTGGCTTTTAGTTCCACAGAGTTGTCATTGTGGATATATTACTTAAATAAGTGGAAATTATCAGAGTGAATTCAGGCTGAAAAGGTGCAATTTTGGGTATTATCTGCTGGAATGTCATAAGGATTTGGCTGTATTACAACAGTACATCTGGAGAGGTTATAGAAAAGTATAAAGTTTTATAGTTTTGTATGGAAGTTTTATCTTAGTTTTTTGAGCCCTATAGAAACCATAACATGTAGAATATGTTGAGAATTATTAACTGTCAAGTAGTGGGTGCTGCTAAATAATGTTTCTTTGATAAAGGAGTTTAATGTGTTGATACTTAAAAAAAAAAAAAGTCTATAGTTAGTGGTAATGGAATTAAGGTTGGTTAGCTGTAGTGGTCTTCAAATAATTGACTTAACCTCTGAAACTTTTGTCATCATTCTAGTTTTATTATAGATTTTTGTCTTGACTTTTATTACCTGATGTCTTAAAAATGAGAAAGTAGCTATGCAATTAATGTTCTGAAGATACTCTCAGATATTATGGATTCTTATGTTACACATTACATGTAAAAAATATTTAGGTCACTCTGAATTTTTCTCAGATAATTGCCTTGTAGGTAGTCAAGAGCCCTAAAAGTGGAAGGGTAATGGAGCAAGTTTCCAGTGCCTCTTTACTGACAGATAAGAAAGCCTGGAAAAATTAATACCCAACTTTAGGGACTGATATATAAACTTTGATAACTTTCATTTTTTACTGACTGTATTCTACTTAAGTGATCAAAGCGATACTTATCTCAAAACTTCCTTTTTTTTTTCTTTTTTTTTTTCTTTTTTTTTTTTACAGTTGATTCCAGAATTTTATGAAAATGATTCTGGTTTTCTAGTAAACAGTTTGAAGTTGGACTTAGGAAAAAGGCAGGGTGGAAAGATAGTTGAAGATGTAGAGCTTCCCCCTTGGGCATCAGGTAATAATAGTCAAACTTACTATGTATTATGAATTAATTCAAGATTATGTAGATGCCTGGGATGGTGATTCTCCTCCCAAAAATGTCCATTCTGTTTTCTTCTGAAGGAACTTTTGCTTTAAAACATTGACATAATTAATAATCATGTTTAATTTTTACAGCAAATTTAAGATTTGGCGTGGGGTGTTGGGGTTGGGGGTGTTTTCTTTGGTTGCTTTTTCAAGAAGGAACAAGATGGATACCAATACTGAATGGGATATCTTCTCCTTATTTAACCCTTCTCTTGCCAGGTCCTGATGACTTTCTTCAGAAGAGCCAAGAGGCTTTAGAAAGTCAGTATGTATCAGAACATCTTCATGAATGGATTGACATAATATTTGGCTACAAGCAGAAAGGAAGTGAAGCAGTTGCAGCTCACAATGGTAAATATATAGCAAAAAAAAAAAAAAAAAAGCTTTAATTAGGCAAATGGTAAATAACAGCTTATCTGTAATGCCTAAATATGCAACTGTGCTTGTTTCCCTGCCCTCAATAAAGAAAGGAAGGGTATTTAATGAAGCTTAAATAAGTCATCCTTCTATTGTGAAAAGACTGATTGCTTCTGAAACTTTCTCCAAGTCTTTTAGAAATACTAAACTTTTTTCAGTTAGGAAACCCAGGATTAAAACAGAAGTTCTCAAACTCTGTAGCCTGCTGAAGTAGCATAGCTGCTTAAATGTAACCAAGTTGAGTAAAAAATACAACTTTTTTATAGTAGGTATGCAACACAAAGAATATGAGCCTTGTATATCCACATTGCACAAATAAACTTTTTTTTTTCTCCCCCTCCCCCAGTGTTTCACCCGTTAACTTATGAAGGAGGAGTGGATTTAAACAGGTAATTAACAGGAATCAAAATGTTTTTGTTAAATCAGTTAGCTAAATTTCTCGATATCCCTCCAGGTTCTGTGCTGGCTGTAAAAGTGCTCTGTACGTGAATGGTGTAGCTCTTCCGCTTTTATACTCTCAAATATGCAGAGAGGCAGCATCAGGTTGTCATTTTTAGCATGCATTGAAAGATTGTTACTTGAACATTTCTTCAGTCTGGCTTTCATTAAATTGCCTTTTTTTTTTTTAATTGACAAACATTCTGTCATCATACATAAACAAAACTACTAGGCTGTCATATGACTGTCCATCACATTTGTGGTAAATCAGTTCTGTAAGAATTTGTGGTGGCCTGTAGTGCTGTAGTAAATGCACATGCAGGCCCGTGCTTTCAGGGAAGGGGAGGAAAAAAAGTACCCGCCTACTTGGCTTAATTAAATATCTTGTTTTTGTAAAGTATTATGGACCCCAATGAAAAAGTAGCTCTGCTGACACAAATCTTGGAGTTTGGACAGACGCCAAAACAGTTGTTTACAATTCCTCATCCCCGAAGGATAATACCGAAGTTGAAAAGCTTGTCTCGAACATCTAGTCACAGTGTTTCCATAATTGAGTCTCCAGGTAAATGTATAACAGATAAACTGACGATGTAATGGATTTGTAACTTTGAGAATTTCTGTATCTTTCTCCCACAGGATCTCATTATACAACTCTCTTGGTCGCTTTCCCTGTAAGCCAACACAAAATAAAGCCGTGAACTAACTGTTAAAGAAAAACTGTCAAAACCAATTTCAAATTTGAAAAAACAGGTGTTGTCCTGCATTTTTGCCTTCTGTTCCAGTGGTCTTCTCTGGGACTGTTTGACCTCTGCTTCTGAACACTATTGTCCCTGGCCTTTCATGACAATTCAAAATCAAGCTGATATGACAGCAGCTTCAGTGACTACATCTGCAGGCATTCTAAATGATGTAAAGATTTGTTCAGTCTTTGAACAGGGATATGTTTGAGGTGATCAATTGGCTTGGTCTAAATAAAGCCCAAGAACTTAAATTAAGCTTTGGAATTTTTTTCCTTTTCCATGACTTGAAAGAAAAATCTTTTAAGAAATTTGTTTTCCCCACATACTGCAGTGACAATGTTGATTGATTAACTTTCTTCAAAAAAAGGATATGTAATGCCTTTACAGGCTTCTATTAAATGCGGAACTTAGACCATTTTTCTGAACCTAAGATGCTATGGTCCTCATCATATGTGCAGTGATCTATAAACTGGATTAAATCTTCAGCCCAAATAGCACATGGAAAGGTTTTTCTCAGTTGGCTGTCTTCAATTCACTTATCTTTTGATGGCTTTCAGTTTTAAGCAGAGAAATGAAGGTGAGTGCTACTTAGCGTGGCAACCTGTAGCATCCACATGGCAAGAGTGGCTTTGAAAGTTGTATATGGTGGTAATAATTTGCATATGTGTTAAACAGTTACAGCGGTACGCTGCTTAAGTCATTAACCCACAGATCAGCTTCCTGTTGGGTTTGGCCTTTTTATAGTAATTGACATCTAACTAGCTCAATTTTGTTGAGTTTTTTATATTTTTATTGAGTTTTTCAATAGTGCAGTGAAATGAAGTTGTGATGTTCCTAACAGAATGCAATAGAATAATATAAGCACGTGCTGTATTACAGCAGGAGATGGCTTTCCTGGGACCTTTCCATTTTGAAAGCTCTTGACATCTCAGTAGAACACCAAAACATCTCTGCAGAAGTTTTTTGGTTTAGGGTTTTTTTTTGTGGTGGTGTGTTTTGGTTTTTTTGGGTTTTTTTTTTCCATTTTGGGAGCATATTCTGTAAAGTCTCTGGTTTAAAAGCCCTGATTTGGGGAGAAAAATCATATTTTTGACTGTGTAAGCCTATGCATTCAGGAAGAGATTTTGAAAAAAGTTAGCGAACTTGTCACTCTCTCTGTTAGCCAAAAATTCTTAATCCTGGAGCTCTGCATGATTTCTGCACTTTCATATTTATGTTTGCAACTTCGGCTACCTACTTATTTGTAATCTCTTTATTTTCTGTTTGTGATGAAACTTTATTGTGGCATTTTATTGCAGTTTCTCCAAATGAAGAATCATTTGAAGATTTAACAGAAGAAAGTATAAAACTTGCTTGGAATAATATTGCCAAACTAAAATTAGATGAGCAATATAAAATTCACAAAGAGTAGGTACTATTCTTTTCACAGTCAGAATTGTTCCATTTAATTGGGGAGGTGGGGGTATCTGCATGTCAATCTGAGTGATGGGTTAGAGTTTAGGGTAAATACTTTTGTTTGTGAGACAGCTCATTAATTTGGTACACAAGGTGAGTTTGAGTGTATGATGGGTTACCAATCCAGAAAAGGTATGTCAGCTTGATGATTTTTGTTGTTGTTCCTTATACACATTTAGAGTTAAGTTCATTAGCATTTTCATATCTGAAGGAGATATGAGTATCCTTCTCTAAAACTGCGATAGCAGCAGCCACATAAAGACTTCCCTTCTTTTACTTATGACCCTAGGAGGACCTAACTTCTTTTTCATCCCATTTGATTTGAAAAGTTAAACCACTTAAGTTCAACTACTGTACACCTCGAGCTGCTGCTGTATGAGCAGTTTGTCCAGTCTCCAGCTACAGGTTTTCAGTTAATTGAGGTCTGAATGAGTGGTTGTTAATACCTGTTCCGATGGATTCCTCAGGAGCCATGAGTCAGCAGGGGCACTTCAGGTGAACTCTGAATATACCTAACAATGAACAACAGCAGCTGAATTTTAAAGAACAGATTTTCCTTTGGCCCCATCCCTTGTCATAGTGACTGGACTGGTAGCCACTACTTCAGTGCTACCTTGATTGCAACTACTTTCTAGAAAATAAGCATTCTTTTGTCCAGAAAACAAGGTAATATTTTTGGTGAGAAAGGTCCTCTGTTACCAGATTGTTAGGGTTAGGGAAATCCTAATCCTGAAAACAGACTTGAATTTCAGCTTCTGATTCCCCCCCCCCCTTTTTTTTTTTTTTTTCTTTCCCTGAAGATTGCTGGAAATAAATAGAAACAGGTCTGTGTAACAGAATTTTGGCTATGCAGAATGCTCTGTGGTTCCTAACAGCTAACTCGCTGACACAAACTATATGTCTGCATTTCTACACTATAGTGACTTTGCCAATGTCAAATCTGAGGAGAAAAGACATGCAAGTTCTGATTCCTGACTCTTTAAGTATTCAGTATCTGCTTGTGGGCAGGTTCCTGACTCTTTGTAACTAATCCCAAATTGGAAAGACTGAATGTGAAACTATTTGTCCTCTCACATGGGCGTGTCCTTTTTGTTGAGGATAAAGTTCTTGAGGAACAGTGTGAGGAGCCTGTACTGGTGTTTCATGTATTATATCAAGGTATAGTTTTGTCTCTAGGAATATGACACACCACTGTAGTGCTTTTAGTCTCCTTCAATGTCTTAGCTCTTACATAGATCAAATAACTATGAAATCACCTATAAACTTGCTTGTGTTAAACAGGGCGATTACTGGAATAGCAGTCACTTGCAATGGGTCTTCTGTTTTCACTACATCTCAGGGTAAGTATTATGGCAGAGGTATTTACTAGAACCTCCAGTGTAAATGCAAGTTAATGTTTTGTGAACAACATAGCATGAAACTCTGAAATGTAGCTAAGATTTAATCCCATTGATATCTTTACTGAGAGCAAAATAAAGATAGCATTGAATGGGATATTTCTGGAATGACTGAGTTCTGGTTTTTTTACAGTCATGAAAGGAGCGGCCCAAATTTCCTGCCAAATGCAAGATTCTTGGTTTTAGTTCATACTCAATTCCTTCTTACTGTTTGAGAGAATTTCAGTATTCATATGTGAAGGCTACTTCTGTTTGACTTTTGGATTGTCACCTTTGCAAGTCACCTATTACAGAAATTAAGTTAAATATGTATTTCCTATAATTAAATAGTTTAAGTACATGAATTTGTTAAGTTTTAGATTGCTTTGACTCAAGGATTTCAATATTATTTATAGCTAGGCATATGAGAGTCTATCTGTAACTGATGCAAAATAGGCTAGTTCCAGGCTCAAGTAATAAGCTTTATAAAGAGTTTCTCAAAGACTATGAGAAACCTATACCTGCCTTTCATAGTAAGATATTTGAATGTTCAAACAGGAGCAAAATTACTAGCTTCTATGATACAAAACAGTCCTTTTATCTTCTGTTTTGTCCATTATTCCCAGATTCAACTTTGAAGATGTTTTCCAAAGAATCAAAAACAATCCAGAGAAGTGTGTCCTTTTCAAACATGGTAAGTTGTTGTCAAAATAAAAACGAGATCATTGGGAATCTTCTGAAAGCTACTCACAGAAATAGCTCCTAGCATACATCAATGCCTCTTTTCTTCCCTTGCCTACTCAATTTCCTTGTGTGTGAATAATTTAGTGGAGTGAATTTAGACTCTTGTCAGGCCTCCAGGGAGACAGAACATATTCTGCAAACATGGGAAGGGAGCATTAAATGGCTACACTTTACTTCTGTGCTTCTGAGTTTCCCTGCTATCCAGGGAAGGGCTTGTGATAGACAAAGATAGTCTGGCACAAGCAGAGGAACTTTCCTGAACAACCTTGAGCTGCCGTTGGTATCAGAATCACAAAGCTTCAGTTCCACCCGTGTGCTCGCCTCCAGCATTGCCTTACTGTTCCCAAGTGTTTGAAGGCTGTGAGTCATCTGGCAGAGGAAAACCAAGCACAGGGAGTGGAAATCTATGCTGGGTGAATTTGAGCCATCCTTCCTCAATGAGTGGTGATCTCAGCAACCTCTGAACAACAATTTTCCCCTGCTTCTAAAACAGAACTTGGAAAGAGATTATGTATTTGATTCTCTGTGCTTGAGCACTGTGGCCAGACCTGGGTCATAGATATTCACTCCCAACTGTCATGTTCAGAGTCCTTTATTGAGGCAAGACACTAGAATATATCAGCCTTCTCTGTACTCTCATCTCTAGGGGGGGAAAAAATGGCAAATGGGTGGCCCAGACAGAAGCCATAGCATGCTCTAACAGGTCCCCAAGTAAGTTGCAGAGCCAGGGCCCTGTGGCCTGCCATGGCACACACTAGCGGGTCAATCTAGATACAGCAATTCCTAATGTTTTAGCCAAGGCAAACTTAGGAATGTTGCTTCTTGGCAGTGTAAAAAGGGAGCTCTTTGCTGAATCCTAGGCCAAAAGTCAGTTTTTCATGAGGAGGCCTTGTATACTCTTTTTTTTTTTTTTTTTTTTTTAATTATTCTCCTCTCTGTAGTTTTAACACTGATCCTGTTGCAGCAATGCTAGAAGCAGTAGTATTTTTGCAGTTCATCAGCTTACTGGTTATTAGGACAGATCTCAAACATGACCAGTAATGATACTAGCACTGGGCTGAATTTTTTTTTTTTTTTTTTTTTTTTACCTTGTTGCTTCCAGTGATAGTAATGTGACTGAGCAGCTGTCTGTAAAACATGTTTCTTGTTGAGAACAGTAGAAATTAGATAGTTAGATTTGTTGTTTGAAAGAGCTGAGCTGATAAGTAGCTGTTTTGGACAACAAACGTCAAAAGAAACCTTCATTTTTAGTTTCTGTTAGCTGTTTGCATCTAGAATTGACAGTAGCTTACAAGATGAAGAGCTGACCCAGTTTATCTTGAGTGAGGAATTACATACCATGGCCTTGAAATACCAGCATTTTGAAAAAGGAGATCCATCAGTTCTCCACGTTTCCAAACTTCAGTGCTACCTTTACATCTACAAGAAATGAAGTATTCTTGCTGTTCAGTGTCCAACCTGTAAGGTTTTTCTTGATTAGTGTTCACGTAACATCTGTATGTTGTATGTATAGAAGATTAAAATGCTTCTTGTTCTCCAAAAGCATGTTAATGTACTTCTGTTTGATTTGAGGTAAAGAAATTGAACATTACTATTTTTTTTCTTTTTCTTACAGGCTTTGTCATCTTGTCTAATCTTACCAGGAGATACCACTGTCATAAGTTCTTCATGGGACAATCATATGTGTGTATTTACTTCCTATTGACTTTATTGAAATACATTGACTGCCTTGGTCGTTATGTTTATGGTTTTAGATAATGATACAGAAATTGTTACAACGCAGTGTCTATATTTCTACTTTTTTTCCAGTAGATTTCTGTTAAAAACTGTAGAAGCAAAGTTACTTTCATCTATTTAGAAAAAAACACTTTAAGTTTTCTGAAGACATAATGCTTTTATAACCTTTTCCTGTTAGATATTTTTATTCAATTGCATTTGGAAGACAGCAAGACATCTTAATGGGACACGATGATGCAGTTAGTAAGATCTGTTGGCGTGATGGACGTTTATATTCTGCATCATGGGATTCCACTGTGAAGGTTTGTATATGGGTCTGTTATACTTCAATAAATATTTATAGATAGCAGTTTTTAATATTCAGCCATCCAAATGCTTTGGAGTGGATATACCATTGTACTAAAATAATAATTTAGCCAGTATCACAGCAAGTTTATTTCTAAAAATATCTTCTTCATTTTCCTTTATCCCAACTCTGTTTAAAAGCTGAAGTGTTACTTTAAAGAAATTTCATTCATTCTAACTTACTCTAAATGTGGGGATTTTGTAGGCAAATTGTATTTGTTGGAGGAACTGGAATATTTTGTGACCTTGACTGGTGCTTCTGTTTGCTGAGTGGAATAGGCTTCTAAAATGTTTAATAGTTTTGTAGCTTATGTTCTTCAGCTAAGTGGATCAGGAACTTGCTGTTTTAAAGAGCATGCCTACAGTTAGGTGGAAAGATAGTTCAGAAGCTAGAGACGGGAAAGAATTTCCCAAAACCTTCTGTGTCTGGCTTTTTGGTAGGTATGCATTCAGTACTTAGGCTTCTGGAAGCTGTCTGGAATTAGCATAGTCATGTTTAATATGTGGCTCTGCTTAGGGCAAATGAGTTCAGGTGCCATTTGTCGTTGCTGGATTCTGCCACGTAGGCAAGGCCTACAGTTAACACAAGCAGCCCTCCTTTTGGTGCAAGAACGCAGCACTGAAAAAACTCGTCCAGAGTTATACTAATGCTTCTGTGAGCAAACTTAAATATTTATCTGTGTTGTAGGTGTGGCACTGTGTTCCTGGAGAGACCTTGAGCAATAAAAAATACCACTTTGAACTGCTGGCAGAGTTAGAACACGATGTTAGTGTAAGTATGTGGATAGAATATGAAAATTAATTGCTCATTAAAATCCAGGTCAAGATTTAATGTTAAAATAGGATTGGGTTAGCGGGCTGAGGGGGTGTGTTGTTTTGGGAAGTGTGTGTGTAGGGGGTTTTTTGTTTCGTTTTGGTTATTTTGTCTGATGTTTCCTGTACCAGTGTCCCCTGCTTCCCTGGTTGAAAGGTCTACTCCTGGGGTCTGAAGCAACAGTATAGACAAAGGTTTCTTAATTTCTCTTGTTCAGCTGGTATGCACAAAGTTCCAAGGAGGACTGAGGTCTTCTTATTTGCTGCTTTGTTTTTCAAAACAGACTAATGTTTTTCAAGTATTTTCATTGTTACTGCTTCTTCTTAATGTATCTTTGCCAAAGGCAAGCAAATAAAAAATAATTTGTCTAAGCTGTTTACCATGCTATAAAATATATTACTGAATTTCACCGTAAATATATAAACACATTGTGTGCACTAAATCATAAATGTGTAACTGCACACTCTTATTTATAGTCTCTAATGTCACTGTGGTAGGATATTTAGAATTACTGGGTTTTAAACCTTCTTAATAGTTTGGTTTTTAACAGGTCAACATAGCCATTTACTGAAACAGTTCTGATAACATTTAAGAACTGTACCAAAGAGAATTAGAAACAACTTTAAAATTAAAGAAGAATTCTACTTCTAAGGGTAAAGTCTTGCTTTTAGGTGGAGAGTATGGGTACTAAAAGTAATCTGAAATGTCAGTTTGCATTTCTGATTCTGGAAAGACAAAGCATTTTAAAATATCATCAAAGGGACTTATCTTTTGCTGTTTTTAGGGAGGACTTTTAATATTAAATTGTAGTTAATGAAAGATGTTGCAGAACTAAATATAAAAGTTTTTTGTAAATAAAATATCTTACAGATAATAGGCTTGCTTTTTGTATGTTTAAAACCTGTCTTAAGGCAGCTCACGTGGAAGGACAGGAAAATCATTGGGATGTTTAACTTCCTAGGTGAATACAATCGACCTTAATGCTGCAAATACTGTACTCGCATCTGGAACCAAAGAGGGTACCATTAGTGTTTGGGATGTTACTACAGCAACAGTGTTGCACCAGTTGCCATGTCATTCTGGAACTGTGTTTGATGCTGCTTTTAGTCCTGGTATGTTGGATTTCAGTTTTTAATATGCACTGTTGGGAGTTTCAAAGGCAATCTAATTCCTGATTTCATGTCATATACCCTTGTTATTGGAATTACTACTTTAATGATGGGATGGTGAGATGTTTTGGATTGACACACATCTCCATTATAAAGAACTTATTAATTGTACACAAGGCTGTACTAGACTAGACCAATGGTGGAGACTCTAAACCAGTTTTCTTTATCATTGCTTGCTTGGAGACTTAATTTACAGTAAATTATCTATAAATAAGTAGGTCAGGCTATGTCACATCCAAGATGCTGTATCACAGACTGCTTTGGTAACTAGAACAGCCTCTAAACAGGCTTTGTTGTTGTTTCTTTTGTTGCTTTTTTCTTTTGCACAGACAGCAGACATCTACTCAGCACAGGAGAGGACTGTTGTTTTAAAGTAACAGATGTACAAACTGGAATGCTTATATCTTCTGTAAGCACTGATGAGCCACAGAGGTAATTCTGAGAACACACAGATTATGAAGCTGCATGGCCAACTCAGTTAACTGTTTGACGGTTGGTGATAGAAGAATGGAAAGGCAATTTTGTTTTTATTGAATTACTTTTTAAAGTGCAAAGGATGACATTCTAGCATGTTGTATGCATTACAGAATCATAGAATGGTTGGGGTTGGA